CCTTGATTGTGCTGTCGCCTGCAGGCTTCTGGACGCATATTTATAGCATCCAGAGAGACGTTTTCCAGTAATTTTAAGCCTTTAAAGCAAAGCAGCAACTTCTGTGCCACAATCAGCAACTTTATATTTTGTCACAAATTGAATTTGTGTGTTTCGTATGATTCTCAGTGTAAAAATCTATTATTTCCCTAAAGAGCATCGACCAGCTGATCCATGTAACGGTAAAGTGTTGTGTTTTCTTCGCGGTACGGACTGAATGTTTAAACTATTCGGTCGAGATTCGGTTTCAAAATGTCGGTTCCCGTAGCAACTGGATACCTGTTGGTATGTTGATTCTTATTCAACACACTGCGTCTCCTTATTTATTGTGATACTTCTTACCCAAAAAGACCAGGGGCTCCCCACTCCTTTCAGATTCACTGACTAATAAAACAGTAGTGGATTTTCCGAGGACCAATCACTTCTTTTTATCAAAATGCAGGCTACGTCATAAACCCCATTTAAAATTTGCAATTAGAATTTACGCATGAGGGCATATGACCTAATTTCTTTTCTCAGAAATATGCTGTCGGTATAAAACTGAAAGTGACTCACCCAATGAGACTTTACTCAAAAAGGTAATCAGCAATATCCAGCACAGAGTATTTACTATTTAAGAAAGAAATGGAAATCAAAGGCGTCACTAGTTTCAACACAACATTTTCTCCCGTTGCGAGATAAATTAAACGACGTTCAGCTTAAGGGTTAGTTTGAAGGTGTCGTGTGTGCATGGATCGCCCGAGGAAAACCACGATAGACAGTCTTGATTGACGTGTTCAGTGCCGGGATTCGAAACTACACCTTCGCGTTGTGTATAGAGTTTCTACAGTTGATACGGAGTAGTTAAAGATTTCGCTGCTTATGATTGTGACAAACATTAGTTTAGCTGATTTTTATATCGTATGTTACCATGGAAACACTTTGCCACTTGAATAAATTCCGTATTTGAACGAAATATTTAGCTTGTACATAGGAAATAATGTGACTTACATTTGTTGTATTTTTTAAAAATATGCATAAAATCAAACCAAGATTGTGATGTTGTGTCCGTCCGTCTTGGTGTTATGTCTCCGAAAGTACTGAATGAATTTAAATTAAATTTGGTATTGATGGTGAAAACTAAAATATATCTGGAGAATTTATGTGTCGGTCTGACAGAATCCGTAAATTAAACAAAGCTCAAATCGAACTTTCTTCTCAAAGTGTCTCATCGTAAAAAAGACGTATTAGACGATGTTAAATATTTACTACAATGAGAGCTGTCATTTTTATTTAAAATATTAAAATAGGCTAAGTCACCAACATAGGTCTATTTTTACTGTAAATGGTATGAATGAGTGTGACTTGCTTATCAACGTTTGGTTTGATTTCGTAATTAATAAACATAATAAATGAGAACAAGGGGGCACACATAAGTTCTCAAAGAACCATTTGTCAGACGCTTGTTAACTGGAGTACTGCATGTTTCTATCATACCTTAATTTTATCTGATTTGTTGTGTGAGGCGAGGCACTGAGGCCATATTGCTTTGATCCGCGTTGCCTTGTCAACTTGGTGGCTGTGCTACTGAACAGTGCGTAATTGAACAACACGACGCACGGTATGATGTTAACAAAGTCGTCGGGAGAGATTATAAACAGGGGAATTGTTGGTTTAAAATCTTAAAGGGAAAGGATCACTTGAAACACGTAAGCAGACAGGATAATATTAAAATGGATCTCAGTGGGATATGGTATAAAGGTGTTTATTTGATTGATATGGCTCAGGATAGGATCAGTGGCGAGATTACACTTTAATGAAAGTTCCGTTCCCGTTAATGGTGAGGTATTTTGTGAGCAGCTGAGCGACTGTTAGCTTCACGAGGACTTTGTTCTTGTGGAGTAAATTACTTACTTCGTATGTACCACCTTTTTCGGGTGCCTTGCTTGTCTGCAAACGTTGTTTTATTTTTCTTCTCGTCACGTTTTCATAAAATTAATTTGAAGATTTTAAAATAAATTCCGAATTATTTAAACAATAGTTCCTGTACGTATAGGCCTACTAAATCTGTTGCCTTACGTACAAACTATTTGCAGTTTCGTGGAATGGAAAACCGCAATTCGGGGTCCCAGAAAGTTTTCGTGGTCCGCCAAGCAAATAATTTTTAAGTGGCGACTTGAGGAAAGAAAGATTAAGTATTTCTTTTCAGGGAAATGAGTTTTTTTTTTATTATTATATTTTTGTGTTTTCTCACAATGGAGCTGAGTCTTAGACGGAGCTAAGAAGATGCCGGTAGCTGACAGTTTCCAGAGAATAAATTTCTCTGGAGTATTAAATAAAAAAGAATGCAATAACAAAATCTGCGAGTACGTCATTAGGGCGGTTATGAAAGTAAAAGCTAGTGAAATTAAGAACACACGTGGGACGATAATAGGATTCCCTTGAGAGCTTCAAGAATGATGTCGAATAAAATAACATTGGAGAAACCAAGGATAAGACGGGTAGACCGAGTGTGATACACATAATAAAATAGATAAAAAATGAACAGCGCTTGTGGGAGGATAGAGAAGAGTTGAGATGCAGTTTGATGCGGTCTGTTGGAAACGTCAGTGGTTGACGATGATTTATTTCTGTGTCAGAATAAACCTAGAGGTGTTTTGGAAACTGGAGTAAGGTGGAAGGAAAAGTTTGGTCTTCGGAGAATTAGAGTCGAATAGCGCTGTTGAATCTTGCATTTTTAGCATCTTTTCTTATTATTTCAATCTCCTTTGTTCGAGTATTATGGATAATTATTGTGGTTGATGTTTCGTTGTTCATTTACTAGAAAACAAATCAATATAAAAATTTGAATTTGGTTGGCTTTTCTATCCAAAAGAAAGCATTTAAAAAGAAGTTATTTTACTGTTAATATTTTAATATTTTCCGTCAAATCACAATTTTTAATAAGATAATAAAATATAAAATATTTAAAATATCATTTCACGTTCCGCATCGAATGATCGATTTACAAATTGGAACGTCTCTTACGACATGTTTCGGTTATATTTAACCGTCCTCAGGTATAAATTAGATTGGTAAATTTAAAACTCGAATTACAATCCTTTTAAAATGTTATGCAGTTTATTGAAGATGTTCTTATCAGATTACTCTTATATATTAGAATGAAAGTAATTGTTTTTTATAGGCGTGGTTCATCTGATATTCAATATTAGTCTGTAAAGCAATGATTTAAAGAAAACATTAATAAATATGGAGTAATATAGAAAACAAAATGATGGAAGTAAATAAATAGTAGAATGTATAAGTAAAGTATATAATTTAATAAAAACATACCGGTGATGAGTTGATAGAGACATGACGTGTCTAGCGGAAGACATCTAGAAGTATTACTGTGTCGGGTCGAGATTTAATACTGAATTGCTGTTGCCACGTCAGTCATTTGCATAAACGTAAACATTATTTTTGCGTGCTCGTCCTTCGTTGTCACAACAAATGCCAGTTGTTATCTGCACGAGAGGGTTTATGGCAATGCCAGGTTATTAAATACGATGGCAGGATTGCCATTTTTATTCCCGTCACGTGACAATTCGCACTGGTTGGGATATACTAACAACGTACTTTAATTAGGAAAACTTCAAGCGTTTGACTACTCTGATATGATTATTTATCCCAGTTGTCTACATTATCGTCAAAGTAAGAGCATTGTGCTTTACCACCCTCATATCTGATGCCACCCCAGGCGAAAGAGAAAGTCTGTGGTCCCTTCTCTCATTTAAAAACAGCTCAACTTTTTCAGAACGTCGTCACAATTGATAACAGACACTGACGAAAATAGTCATTTATTTAATAATTTTAAAATGTGATCAAAGAAACATTAATAAAAATATGGTGTCACTCGGTCACATTAGTCGTTCGTCACCCTGATGATGGAGACGTCAGGCTCCTCCAAAATGTCGGTCATTGTCTATACGTTACAACATCCTTATAATAAAGATTTTCTATAACATTCTTCGCTCTATATATTTGTAATGCAACAGTCATTATTCTATGGTATTGGCTGCCGAATCTGAGGTGTTTTTTTTTTTTTGATTTTATTTCCTTATATATATATCCCAGTAACGTTCTTACCACCACTTCTGTTTTCCGGCTTCATATTTTTTTTATTTATTTTTCTGATTAATTAAGACAATATCAAAAACTAGTAGCGTTTCCGATCTTCGCGAATTTCTAATTATAAGTTGTCGTAAGTTTTAATGACGTTTCATTTATTCAGTTTCTATTCGTTTAATGTTTTGTCATTTAGTGCGGTTATATCCGGGTCACTGGAAGAGCCGAGAACAAATAATGAGACCAAAGTAAAAGTAGGTTCATTAAAAATTTCAGGCGAACAAGTGCACTTTTGGTAACCAGCTAATAATCATCTACAAAAATCTTTGCTGAAACTGAAATGATAATAATAATGTCTTGAGATGCAGATGTACTAATAACAGGGAAATATTTATAATTCATATATGCATGTTGGTTTTAATTACCTTTTTTTTTGTTAACAGGTCTGAAGGAACAAAATGGATGTCATCTGAAATGGACCAAGAGTTAAGTTTTCAACCAATTATGGATTTCGTTAATTACAAAAGAATCAGTACAAGATTGAAGAAGCTGTATCACTGAAGTGTCATGGTTGAATATTATTTCAGAGAGCTGACATTAAATCCGTCAAACTGAGAAGAATGTGTCTGTCATGAAATTTGCCTTTGAATAGTGAAATCGTCGGGAAATTTGTCGTTGGATGTTACCGCATCTGACGTGAAGTTAATTTTTCGGTAATATAAAAATCACTGACAATGAATTATAGTGACGAATATGTACCTTTGTCCATTGAGGATTGTCTCACAAGACGTCTGGAAGAAAACACTTCAAATTTCTTTGCCATCGAAAACATTTCATCCTCACAAACTGACACTAATGTACTCAGTGCGCCCTTTCTCGTCATTCTGCAGAACTGCAATTTGCTTACAGCAGATCTTCATGAAGTTTCCGTGACGACGTCTCCAGCTCGCGTATTTTCAGATTCATTGCTTGTTCTGGAAGCAGTCGCCCTGGGACTCATAATCTTGCTCACGATTGGCGGAAATCTTCTTGTGATAGTCGCAGTGGTACCCAGCCCAACACTACGTTCACCGACGCACTCTCTGATCGTGAACCTAGCAGTCGCAGATCTTCTTCTGGGTGTCACTGTGCTGCCTCTGTCGGCAACACGAGAACTGTCCGGAATATGGCTTCTGGGCCCCAGCCTCTGCTCTATATGGACATCTCTGGATGTCCTGTGCTGCACCGCCTCTATTCTGTCTCTGTGTGGTATTTCTGTCGACCGATATATCGGGGTTTCAAGACCGCTGGCTTATTCGCGAATCCTGACAAAGAGACGTGCCAGAGGACTCATTGCTGGGATATGGGCACTGGCTTTGGCTATAAGCATTGCACCTCCTCTGGGCTGGAGGGACGATTCAAGTGACACCGAATGCCACGTCAACAAGCAACTGGGCTACGTCATATTCTCTGCATGTGGCTCCTTCTATCTGCCGGCCCTCGTCATATTGGTGCTGTACGCGCTGGTCTATCGCGCTGCCTCAAGACACTCGAAATTCCTCCAGTCTGGGTCTAGGGTCACGCGTTCAGACGTCACCCTCAGAGTGCATCTAGGAAACAACAGTCTCAAGGGACACGCCACTGAAAGGGTAAGTTTTTGTTGTTGTTGTTGTTGTTGTTGTATGGCAGGGTTTAGTTTCGAAACTTCCATAGTCAGTTTAACATTGTCCTGGGAAAATGTTTCATAAATCTGGTTCCTGAATCTTTTAATTGTTTTGATTTACAGTGGACGCAAAATAACTCCGAGCTTCAACTGTTTTACTGTGAGAGGGCAAGAGGGGAGCAAGATGACAATGAGTCTGTAACTGAAAACATTTTCCCCTCTTAGTATCGACGCGGTCGTTTGCATTCTCATGTACTGACTGGTTTTTGAAGTTCACTGTATTCAACGAACCCAAGAACTATAAAACATTGGCAAAGCAGGCACACACTTTAACCCTCACGCGCTAATTTCACAGCTTAAACGTAATAATCTCGCATCAGACAGCACGAGGAAAAACTGGGTCATCTCTTCCCGGTCTACCTTTCTCTCACACGTGTGTTTGTAATGATCGTAGAAGCTCGGAGATATTTTGCGTCAAATATAATTAGTTAGATTTGAGGTTATTACAGCGAGATGAAGATGTCCTTGTTAGTCTTCTGGAGTTGTTGTAACGCTGTTTGCACTTTTAGATATAGTTTTGCAACCCCGAAGATCAACATCGACATTTTAATTTCAGTTTCGTGTTCCTCCGTTCTGCTAACCTTTGTATAGTCTCAGTTTATGATGAAACTCGAACAGCCTACACCTAGCTGATATCTTAATTTCGTGACCCAGATTTCACTAACATGGCGGCCATAGCCTTGCTAGTTTCTTTGCTCACATTTAACATTATATTGCGTGTTTCACCTGTGAATTAGGAGTCTTATAATTTTGTTGTGCTGATATGTCGTCAGACTTACAGTTCTGACCGCAATATGTAGTTGAATGTCGTAATAACAAGCACTGAGCACTTCACCGAGCGTTCTGATCTTCGTCTGTTATATAGGTGAGTAGTAACTTTGTGTACAGTCTGCTTTAACGTTCGTTAATACACGTCACTCCCATGGCGTATATTTACATCCTGTTTTTTTTAAAAAATTAATTCTACATCGAGCGTAGTAAATTTCTTCTTGGGTGATTGAGTGGTATATCAGTATGTTCAGAATCAATTTTTCTTTATAAAATCGTTAGTGAAAGTTTGCTTTTCTTATCCATATCACACACTAGTAGTGTAACTCAGTGAGATATTTAAGTAACAAACACATCCAGATATTAATTCACTCTGATTATTAGTAAAGAAATGACACAAATATTTAAGGGGAATCTTAGGGAATTTTGTATTCTTTCGTTTGCCGGACTGCTGGCATCCGATAGGTCTTGCGGCCGCCCATCTCAACACAGGGTTGATTTTTATATATTTTTAAATACTCAGATTGTTATCAATGTCCAAGTTGCTACTGTATGCTTCTCATGCGTTTTTTCCTATATAATGTAGAGGCTGTCAGATTATTTCAGTGTCCAGTTTATGTTTAACCACGTACGTTAATCGAAAAAAACAACAAAATTACTCTGTCTCAAGCTTCTGTTCGTGGCCGTCTTGTCTCGTCTTCATGTTCGTTCTGCCCTTATGAGAAGAACCAACTGTTGCATTTTTCATCCCCCGGAGAGAATAGGTCCCCCCCCCCACACACACACATCTTGGGCGTCACGTGCTTTTCCTCCACGCCAGTTTGATCATGTCGGAGGCCTTCTCGCCGATCATGTAGGCCGGGCCCATCGTGTGGCTGGTAGGAATCACGGGCATGATGGAAGCGTCCACCACTCGAAGGCCTTCGATTCCTCTGACCCGCAGTTCGGGGTCCACGACGGCGTCAGGGTCGGAATCGGGTCCCATCTTGCACGTCCCAACCTGGTGCTGCAGGGTCGTCGTGACCAATCTAGCAGCGCACTCCCAGTACGCGTCTGACCCGAAGTCCATGTGTTCACATCCCGGGAAGGGGATGTTGTGGAGTTTGCTGTCGAACTTCTGGAACGCTTTCGTCTGGCTCAGGGCAATTGCCTGGTGGGAGAACGAAAAAGACTCATCTCATAAATGTTTACATTTGGTTTATTGCTGTTGCATCAGGAAAACTAAACGTCAAAACCCTCAAGTCTACGTTAGGCTTGTGGGTAGATACCAACGTTTCGGAAGAATATATTCCCCCGAAATTTTGTTATCTACCTACATGTCCATGCGGTTAACCCTTAAGATTAAACATCGACATCTTCATTGCCAAGAGAACCTCAAATCATATATATATATAATATATATATATATATACACACACTTTTGATCTGTTATTTTGTTTGTTGGTTAATGAATAAGTTTTCCCGTTTCCAGAACCAATTCGAGATTTGTAGCAAGCTGTATATTGTTTCTGTGCATTTATACTACACGAAACTAACTTTGTGTTGGGTTGGGATTAATTTAACAAACACATCTGTTTCCAATTGTAGTTTCATAAACCATGAGACGTGAATTCTGTACAACTTAATGCTTAATACTGTAACTCTTAAGTGCAGCCAAAGATGTTTAGAGGAAGATTTGAGGTTTTCACAGCGATGAGTATGAAGATTTCTGTCTTCTGGGTTGTTGCGCTGTGTAGTCTGGTCGATGTTTATCAACGTTTCGGAGGTCATACTGCCTCCGTCATCAGGGCGATTCTTTCTAAGTTGTCTACGCTATGAAGATTTATGTCTTCTGGGTTGTTGCGCTGTGTATTCTGGTCGATGTTTATCAACGTTTCGGAGGTCATACTGCCTCCGTCATCAGGGCGATTCTTTCTAAGTTGTCTACGCTATGAAGATTTCTGTCTTCTGGGTTGTTGCGCTGTGTAGTCTGGTCGATGTTTATCAACGTTTCGGAGGTCATACTGCCTCCGTCATCAGGGCGATTCTTTCTAAGTTGTCTACGCTATGAAGATTTCTGTCTTCTGGGTTGTTGCGCTGTGTAGTCTGGTCGATGTTTATCAACGTTTCGGAGGTCATACTGCCTCCGTCATCAGGGCGATTCTTTCTAAGTTGTCTACGCTATGAAGATTTATGTCTTCTGGGTTGTTGCGCTGTGTATTCTGGTCGATGTTTATCAACGTTTCGGAGGTCATACTGCCTCCGTCATCAGGGCGATTCTTTCTAAGTTGTCTACGCTATGAAGATTTATGTCTTCTGGGTTGTTGCGCTGTGTATTCTGGTCGATGTTTATCAACGTTTCGGAGGTCATACTGCCTCCGTCATCAGGGCGATTCTTTCTAAGTTGTCTACGCTATGAAGATTTATGTCTTCTGGGTTGTTGCGCTGTGTATTCTGGTCGATGTTTATCAACGTTTCGGAGGTCATACTGCCTCCGTCATCAGGGCGATTCTTTCTAAGTTGTCTACGCTATGAAGATTTCTGTCTTCTGGGTTGTTGCGCTGTGTAGTCTGGTCGATGTTTATCAACGTTTCGGAGGTCATACTGCCTCCGTCATCAGGGCGATTCTTTCTAAGTTGTCTACGCTATGAAGATTTATGTCTTCTGGGTTGTTGCGCTGTGTATTCTGGTCGATGTTTATCAACGTTTCGGAGGTCATACTGCCTCCGTCATCAGGGCGATTCTTTCTAAGTTGTCTACGCTATGAAGATTTCTGTCTTCTGGGTTGTTGCGCTGTGTAGTCTGGTCGATGTTTATCAACGTTTCGGAGGTCATACTGCCTCCGTCATCAGGGCGATTCTTTCTAAGTTGTCTACGCTATGAAGATTTATGTCTTCTGGGTTGTTGCGCTGTGTATTCTGGTCGATGTTTATCAACGTTTCGGAGGTCATACTGCCTCCGTCATCAGGGCGATTCTTTCTAAGTTGTCTACGCTATGAAATGGTGGCATATCTCCTCATATCCTTAGCGTATTAGATGGATATAATTGGTCAGCTCCACGCTTCCCCTCCTTTACTCTGGGTGGGGGGATGGGGGAGATTCCTTCTGTATTTTATCGATTTAGTTGTCTGGGTCGGCTCCAGGTCATGTCCTGACGCAAAAGTGACGGAGATGAAAAGTGCCTGCTTCAGGCGGTAGTCAAACCACGAGTTAGAATTTAACTACACGCCAAACTCAGCATCTTTATGTGAACATGTGCAGGTGTTTCGCCGCAAGAGAACTTATGACCTTACGTACGCAGAAGTCGCAAATGTTCTGTGCTCATAACTCGATCGCTGCAGTTGTGTGAGCAAAGTCTATGTTCATGGAATTATCGCTCTGACGATGGAGTTCCTCTTAAACGTCTCAGTATCTACCAGACTACGCGGGTTAACATCCCAGATGACAGCCACCTTCGTATAGGTAGCCGTGAGAACCTGAAATCTCGCCTTGCTCTGTTTCGTGTGAGGTAGTTTTGATATGTAATCTAGTCGTCAATCATTCACATCGTAACTAAACGGGTCGCATCATCGCAGAATTTCAGTTGCGCCGAGTCGAATTACTCTGCGTTCATATTACAGTAACCCTCCACGTAAAAACACCACTTCCATTGTACATCGTTAATCATTTTGTTAATTTTTTTTCGGGATAATTTATACAGCTATAAAAACTGTCACGCGAAGTCGAAAGGTCAGTGTGATGAGCTTCGCCCCACTAAGAAATAAAGTTGCGAAAGATTTCGTGTGAAACCAAAAAATCTATCATTATGACGCGTTTGGTCTATCGCGCGTTCGAAGTTTTATCGTCTTAGCGTCTTTACGTAAGACTTTGTTTGTTTCCTGTCTCCCAGAGCTCGTTAACTTATTCATTAGAACCGCCTGACCTTATACTGAGCCAACAGAATGCAGTCCATATCCTCAATCCATGTTTCTGTAATACTCGTATTAATCTTTTAAAAACAGATATATCTCCAAAGTGAGTTTTTCTTTTGCTGTTAGACAAAAATTTTCTATGAATTTCTCACCTCTCCCAAGCGTGCTATATAGCAGTGGTATTCAACCTGGGGTACGCGTACCCCCGGGGGTACGCGAATACATCTTAAGGGGTACGTGAAATTTAAAAAAATATATATTATTTTACGATAAACACTGAATAATCAGTAATGTAATTTATTTAATTTATTTTAGATGTAGATTATATACTATGTATAACTTGAATTATACACCAACAACTTTGGGGGTACAAAGTTGAAGAGAAATTATATCTGGGGGTACGCGAACAAAAAAGGTTGAATACCACTGCTATATAGTATAGCTCTCATTTCCTTATTCTCCATGATTTGGTTACTATAACAATAGTTGGTGTGGAGTACTAATTACGAAGTTCTTAGTTATATATTTCTTGTCGTGTTCCTGTTAACTTCCTCTGTCCCTAGGGTCCAAATATTTTCTTCAGAGCTCTATTACAAAACGCCCTCAACTTTTCTCCTTCTCTTGGGTGTGGAAGGGGAGGAGGGGCGAAATTACAAATGTTTTTAATGGCCAGTCGGTACTTCAGTATAAATTTTACGTAATTTATATTGTCTTAAATGTTTTTTTGAGACGCGGGGAAATGAATCAAGACTTGTAACAAGTTTTTTTTTAAAAAAATCTTGCTAATTCATCAGACGTTATAATTTTTTCTTAGAACTTTTTAATGTTGAATGCATGTAGGAATTATTATCGAAGGCAAAATCTGTCCCTGTGCTTAAATAAGCAAAACATCATAAATAGATTTGAAGTACCACAGGTTTAAATACACACAGTCTTCGCATCGGCTGTAGCCAGAAATGAATGTTCAGTTTCACGTTCCAGCTTTATCCCACCCCATCCAACACGATCCTATGTGGGCCCGCTGGTAGCGAAGAGATGAAATCATCGCCCCATCCGGGAATCGAACGTAAGATCCACAGGCGCTACCTTTTCACGCCTCTTCTGGCCTTGGTATGACTAAGAAATATCCTAATTATAATGACCGACTTCAGTGGCGTGACGAGGGTTGAATGAAATGACACGCTAATGCATACGTTCAATTTAAACTGACATATAAACAAAATTCATACCTCATTAGTGAGTTAATAACTTCGGTCTGACACACATCGCTTTTAAACCGGTTTCTAGCGGATGTTCAAGGACGTTACACGTTATGTAATATTGAGGGGTTTTTTTGTAGGTCACTTCAGTTGAGTGAAAGTGCACGACATCGAAGGCCATGACAGTGCTAAACGTCCTGTGTTCGTAACCAGTTACTAGTTTGGAAGATGGCATTTAGAGTGAATGATGCAAGCACAGACAGTATGAACTGGGCAAGTAGCATGCAATTTACGTTCGGCTTACTATATTTACTGCGGAGAAGCTTTAAATGTGTACGGCTTCTAGTTTTAATCATTTAAATACCTAGTGGTAACGAGACGTACCACCTGGTTTACGCTAGCGACCAGCGTAAGTCTTTCAGTCTGGTTGGTTGCAGCTGGCTAACGATGATTTTTTTTTTCTGAAGCTGAATTACGAAATTAATCTTCTGTTTTTCAAAGTGTTAGCCGGGCGAACGCGGTTGACACTAATCTCAGACCCTAGATGCAGCAATTGTTCAATGAAATATTGTTCGTGCCTGCCGTGTGTCGTATCCTTAATGTTATCCGCTAAATAAAAAGTCGAGATTTTAACTCCGCGTAGTAGAGTCTGTATCGATAAGTTGACATTTGCTTAGCTTGTTAAGAAATGCCCTGTTTCTCTCTCTCATGAAATCTGAATGTTTAGCACTGTTTACAAAAGGTAGAAATTGAATCCAATCAAGAATCTAGACACCGTGTCTTATTATTTTGATTTCTGTCCTTGTTTTTACACAATTTCTGCGAAAGTGATTTGTTAAATTGTAAAGAACAGCGTTTATTTACTGTGGCTGAAGTAACCTGCTCCAACTTGTTGCGTCTGAAAAGGGCTACGTGATTTCCTCGTGACGAAATCTTTCAGATTGCAATCAGATGGCAATGCAAGTGGATGTCAACTATCAACACAGGTCATACGAAGTATTGCACATAATGGATGCATCGGTAAAGAGAAATCTTAGTGACCCAATTGTACAAACAAGCGATAGTGTTTACACAAGTTATTGCTTCTTAATTTACTGAAATATTGCATTAAAAGTAATTTGAGATTTTCACGGCGGATTGAGTTTAGACTGTGGACTTCGGTATTTTTGCGCTACAAAGTCTTCTCTGAGAATGGTTGCAGTATGTTCCCAGTACAGGCACAGTAACCTAAAAGACCACAATCTGTAAACACTAACATTCTCGCATTGTGACTGAGTAAAATCAGGACTTTAATATGCATTTTTAATTAATTGTAACACTTATCTGCGAAGTTGTGAGAGAACTGAAAAGTTGGAACGCGAGAAGTGACTGTACACGTGGCATCTCTGAATTTGCCCAAGTCTGAAGAAGTTTTGCGTGAGTAGTCAACACCAAATGTCATCTAGAGAATTTATTTTTGTACACAGAACGTATTTTGCTCGGAAACTCCCATTCGTCATCTTTCGCTTATTAAAATGTGAGACGTCATTGCAGACAGGAAACAACATCTCGCTGTCTGTTGACGATGTGAGGGGTTTATCTGAGCGAAGATATTTATTAGACATTCTTTATGCATAGCTTTGCGTACGAGGTCTTCTATAAAACTTGTGTCCATCCGATTTGCTGCTTCTATCTAGTCTCTAGTAAACGAGCGCATTGCGTCACGGGATTCCATTTTAAATTCCTGAAGCATCTTCGTTGCTAGGTAACGCGATAATAAGTGGAATCTATCCGACATTTTTGAGATTCTCTTCGATACTGAACAGTGCAGACTTTAGAATTTTTCTCCTCTCCTGAAGAACAGCTGTCACTCGTGTAAAGTTTAGGAATTTGAAATGCTATGGTTATGTACTAGTGTTCACTGAAACCAAACTTCGTCTCCCCCATGCGTGCTACATGCACCACCCCTCCCTTTATCTCTGGTTTCTTCGCCATAAATAATATTTTTTTGAGGAGTACAATTTATGAACCTCCTCCTCATACAATTTTCTCCAACTCCACCTTAATTCCTCTTCGAGCAAAGCTGTCCGTCTACAATTAATAGAGAAGCTTATAGGGAGAGAACGTATAGCTCCTGATCAGTCATGACCGCGACCCTGGTTGAGTGTGAGTGATCAGCTTCACGCCCCGGCCGCGTTCAACCCCCGAGGAAAGGACCCCTGGATGTTAGTTTCTGTTATTTCGGTCCAAATCGGGATACCCTATTTTTAGACACCCTGTTTCTCAACCCTTAAGCTGAATGACCGAGTTTTATACCCATATAGCAGGAGCTGTATACCTCTTCCCTCAAGTGCCGACATGGCGTATAGTGGGACTGCTTTTATACCTGTTTGAATGTTTCCAAAGATAGGTACACGATGAGTCCAATTTTGCTACGGACATGCAATATTACTTATATTTAGAATTTTTTGCATATTTAAAGGCAGGTGTTGAAGTTAACGTAGTTTTGTGTGCAGTGTGCCACAATTATCAACCAAGTAAGGAACAGAACTCACGTGTTTAACTCCTTCCACCAAGACGTGGAGATCATGCTTGTCATCGAAGTAATTGGCGAACAGCAGAGGAGAATGAAACGGGTCCTTGGATCGAAGCTTCACTCGCCCCCGACTTCTCGGTCTTAATATAATCGGCACCAGCGCGAACGCATCCTTCCCAGCTACGGGCCCAAACACCTGTTGGTACAGCTTCTCCGTGATGCCGAGTCCTCTCCGGAGGCTACCCGCCGTGTCCCCGGTCAGAGTTCCAGGCGCGCATACTATCTCCAGGTCTGGCCATTCGTAATCCGGGTCTTCAGGCCTGCTTCCGTTGCTGTATTTAGTTTGGATGAATGCAATGCCTTCGGCACCTCCTGGGATCGTTAGAGGGCCATTTCTGTTGAGCAAATAGTCCAGGCCGTAATTGACGTTGAACACAAGTCTTCCTTCAATGAGGCTTACTGAATCGTTGATGAGAAACGCAAGAGCTGCCATGGAAACGTGGTCTTGAAGGTTGTATCCGACTTTCAGGTCTTTGATGACGGGAATTCCTACTTCTTCGAGGTGTTCACGAGGGCCCACGCCAGACAACATGAGGAGCTGGGCCGAGTTGAATACACCGGCGGATAGAATCACTTCCTTTCGTACGCGTACTACGTGCGTACGTCTGTTTTTGACGAACTGAACACCAAATGCTTGATTTGTCTTGGGATTTATCAGCACTTTTGTGACTCTTGCTTGTTTTGCGATATGAAGGTTTGGCCGGTTTCTTATTGGCCGAAGAAAGGCTTTCGACGCGCTGCATCGAGTACCGTTTCTGATTGTGGCTTGTACGTACGAGAAGCCGATCTGTGACTCTGAACTTGGGTCCCTTACTTCGTAACCCTTTTCCTTGCCTGCTTCTAAAAACGCTGGAACAATAGGCGTCCTCCAAGGAGCTTCCTGGACGTTTAAATATCCCCCCGTTGAATGATACGGTGAATTAATCAATTCTGGAATACCGACGTCTTCCGACTTCAAGAAGTAAGGCAGAACGCTGTCGTATCCCCATCCTTTGTTACCAAGAGCCTCCCAGAGGTCATAGTCTCGTCTATTACCTCTGGTGTATACCATGTAATTAATTACACTAGTTCCTCCCATTACTTTTCCACGAGGCCACCTACAGCGTTTTCCTTCCATGCCTCGACAGTAATTTTCGTCTGGTTCGGTTCTGTAGCCCCAGTTGAACCCCAGAAATTGCACGTAGCTCGCCATAAGCGGTATGTCGGTCACAAAGTTCTCTTCTCCACCGGCCTCGAGTAGTAAAACGGACCACCCTGGCACCTCCGTCAGCCTGTTGGCTACAACAGATCCACCGGAACCGGCTCCTACCACTACGAAATCGTACTCTGCATTGAAGACGTTGGTGTCGTAAGTTACTCCTTCGGAGTTCTGAAGGCCGCTGCGGATGAGACCCAGTAAACTGTCCAGAAGGGACTGTTGTGCCCTCACGCTGTTCAGAGACGCCGCTGTGAGTAGGAGGCAACGGATTAGTAGCCGATGATGCTTCATTGTTCTGTCTGAAACACACGAACAAACATTAACATAAGAACGGGCTTGCAGGTCTGTACCGCGTTCTAGCCAGTGCCACGATATCTTCCTTCAGAGGCCTTTTGGGAGATTATATTAAAATAATCTTGAAATAAACAGGAGATGAAATTGTGATGGTCTGGATCAAACTGGCGAGTGTTTCTCTCGAAACGCTGGTGTAGATGTCCACGCCGCTGTACAACCTAGAACATCAACATCTTCACCTCCGCGAGAACCTCAGATTTCTATACGCAACCTTGGTTGTATTTCAGTCCGTGGACAGAAGGGCCCAGACGAGCTTTTCGTTTTAGGTCGCCTCGCGTTTTGTAGCAGAGTCTGGCTCTAACTTCATTTGAGTTTCAAAAAAGCTGTGACCGCTAGTTGATGACGTGGCTGCGCGGCTCGGTGACCTTTCCCTGTTTCCCCGCTAGATTTAATCTGTTAGTAGTTTTCAATTACTCGCCTTTCCGGAGAGCGTCGCTTCAATTAGGTTCTTTCTGGTTATGTGGTTTGGTTATAACTAACACTGTGGCTCTAGCAGAAACCCAAGGTTCGACACCAATGACACGTCAGAGCCAGTCACTGGACACAATCGTGAGACACTTCCATCAATCTCCCTAAGATCAACTTTGATGTCATTCTTTGATCCCTGTCCTTCTCCTTTTTCAAAGATCTATCGCCCAAGAGATTTCCGCACAAAATATCTGCCTGCATTCCTTGTCTCCCCATCTTAGACACGTATTGAGCTCAACTCGTATTATTCTTTCTCCAGATTTCACTAAACTAACAACACTAAGTCATCTGTACAAATCACAAAGCTTATTATTATGTCGTGTTGTATATTACTTATTTATTTAATCTTGTGTCAGGATATTTTTTTTTTCAAGCGCGTGTTTCTCCTTATTCATGATCCATTATCATTCTCCTATCATTCGAGGCTGTTTTATTCTCTGACGTAATTAATTCTGAACCAAATATCAACAGATCTTAGATTTCTGGTATAACTCCGTGGGATGATTATAACCCCATCGCGAGGTGTCCAGCGTTTACAAACCCGGGGCATGTAGCCTTTGAGGGAGCCTTGAGTTGACTAGTTTATACTCTTTTTTTATTTTTTATGCTGTATTGCTGTGAGTTCTAAGCTTTTTTTTTATCACATTTTGATTTCACATTAGCGTAAAGACGACGAAGAAACTATGTCTTATTTCTATATTTCAGTTTGTATGTATTGTATTTCTTAAAAATGTATGAGAGAATTTTTTGTGGGGAGGGGGGTGTCCGCGGCACAAGAGATGTTGAGGACCAGTAGCTACGAACATTAGACAAACTTACATAGAAAAACACTTAAAAAGATAAATATACATTTCTCAAAAAAGAGAGAAAATGAAATTCTAGTACTTTACGTGAAATATATTAATGCTCGATTTGGAAACTTGGTATAAAACGAAATAATGACCTTATGAAATTCTAGTACCTTACGTGAAATGTATTAATGCTCGATTTGGAAACTTGGTAACCACTCCCGGCTACGGGCTTGGCTTCTTGAGTCTCGCTACCAAATTAATTATGGCAGAACCCACTTGGCATTGTCCCGTCTGCAAGCCGTATTTCCCTGATACGCTGGAGAACAAGTGTTAGTTTACTGCGCCCAACGTTAGAAGGTGGGAGGGGATGGGTTGTCGACCTTTCAAACAGCCTAGGAACTTGTTATTAAGTCGTGATTACGTGACTGGAAACGGCTTTGATGTTTCAATACTGTGCATTCAGTGTTTAGGGAATATTATTATGTGTCTACTTTGTAGGAGAAGATGTCAGTGACATATTCACAAAATAGTGTCGACTTCATCCGTTGACCGAGTGTGAACCCTTTTAATAATGTCTGTTTCAAAATGTTCCGCGTTTCTTTTATATTTCATACCATGATTCAATATTGAATCCAGTCGGAAGCGGGAAATGTGCGAGCACAATATTCGGACAAGTGAGTTTCAGAACATCGTATTTTTTTGACTGAACGAGATCGATGCACGACTTGATGAGGAGGATGAAATGAACATCACACGGGGAAGGTGAGAAATACGTACAATTCTAATTAAAATTGTGTGATGAAGTCCGTATCTTTGCATGTTGCTAAAACATTCTATTTATGGATTTCATTTGGTTTACACAATGCAGACCAGAGATGTTTCTTAATTTGGGCCAATTAAAATATATTTATAGCAGTGATACCACGCGTTACCTTGACTACAAGAACCGCGTCTTTGTACGACGTGCACAGAATAAATTCTTATAGGACTGATGTCTGTCAACTCACCCGCACATTTCAACTCGAAAGCCGCTTGGTATTAACGTTATGCCATTGGATGCCACTTCCAAACTCTTATATCAACGTGACGGACGGACGTATGCACACGAATTGTGACGTATAGTGATTTTATCACCACTTAATTTTTTTTTTATTATTATTATTTGTAGTGTTCTGTCTGACGACAGGTCCATATGAACAGGATCCTTCCATCCTTTTCTCGGACTGGGACCTGTTCATATACGTTCTTGGCAGATGATCCAGAAGTGGTTTGCCATTGCCTTCTTCTGTGTGTGAATGGAGTAATTGTTGGGATGCCACGGAGGAAAACTCCGTGTTGCCTAGACCACGGCCTTGCCCAACACAAGTTATAAATTCGAACCCGAGACCCCAGGATTACAAGGCCAGCGTTCTAACCGCTAGACCACCGTGGCAGATCTTCGAAAAATACGTAACTTTTAACGATGGACCCTTCTGGATTGTTGCGCTGTGTAGTAGAAGTTTTCTGACGTTTCAGTGGAACCAGTTTTTGTCTGCTTACGAGTTCACAAAATAATTTAAAAAGTTTAATGTCAGTCTCGTTAAACATTCAGAAATCGAAAAATGCCCCACGTGAAAGTAATAGACCGCAAAGGGATATGGAAAAAAAACCTGGATGAGTTTTATATATGGTGATGGGGAGAAGAGTATTTTAGCAAGTTTTATTTCACACGTAATGATCCCATTAATGGACACCATGAACGCTTTTTTAACATGGGGCTACGTGCTCAGATATTCACTTTTTGCCTCCTAGTAGATTTTGTAGTCATCTGCCACTACAGTTGAGCCATGGGATGCAACTGTAAGGTCCACGAACATTTTTTAAAAAAAATATTTTTGTTGTTGCTATTTTCCAACTGATTATCGTCGATGATAACCATTTTGTTTCAAATCTAATCACGACACACTGAAACTTATTTATCCTAAATGAAGCTGTGTACCTGTAGCTGTGCGAAATGCATCTGGTTTTAATCTCTTTAACCTGATGTAATAATAACCAGTCTGTGATGAAAAGTTGGTGTATTGTTTTGTTTATGTTGATACGTCACTGAATAACACGATACAAATTTATTTACCTTGTTTTTGCGATAACGAAAAATGTTTCACATTAATTATGTGTACTTTAAGAGATCTGTACTTAATTTTAATTTTGTCTCTGTACATTAAGTCATTTTAAAGATTCTAAAAATTTGGTTTATTTTATGTTTATGTAAAGAATGTGCTGAACTTGGTCGTGAACTAGATTCGTGCAGCTTATTTTATATTTACCAAATTTCTTTATAATGCGTAAAGTATTTACTTTGATGAAACAGATGTAGCCATTTTCTTTTTTCATTTTCATGGCGATTTGTGGTAATGAAAAACAATACGCGTGTACGAAATTTCTCACCAGTAATCTGACCGAACGTTTTGCGTTTACTTACACAGTTTGGATGTTGAAACGCATCCGAATCGTCAGAGTATATGGACACCGGTCCTCCCCAAGCAGCGACCGAGAGATCGCGCCTCTGAGCGCACAAGCCACTTACTGACTGATCCACTGTTCGTAACTCCACCGGCTGCAAGTCTAGTCAAGGTCGGAGAGAGTCTCCGGTGGTCTCGACAGATTGTAGTTGCCAGGTCGCACCCCCTTAAATCAAACAATCTCTTGGAAATTCGATGATGTGTTCATGTAATGTTGAGGAGGATATTTGGGCCTAGGAGAGAAGACGATGGGGCATGGAGAAAACTGCATAATGACGAGCTTAAAAATCTGTACTCCTCCCCCAATATTGTCAGGGTGATTAAGTCGAGAAGAATGAGATGGGCTGGGCATGTAGCGCGCATGGATGGGACAAGAGGTGTGCACCGGGTATTGGTTTGGAAGCCTGAGGGGAAGAGACCTCTGGAGAGACCTAGACGTA